AGAAAACTCAGAGTCCTCTGTGAGGAATATTCTCTATTTTAAATATTTTTAGTATGTACTGTGTATGATTCGTTACCAATTCGAGGGGATTTATACGTATTTTTTAGAGATTTTTTTAAGACGCTCTTATTTTTCCAACAGCTTAAAAAAAAAAAAAAAAACGACACTTAGTGGAGCAGCGCTAGGCTTTCTTGCAGTCAGAGGTATTTTTGTATAGATAAGTGTCTTTTTTTTTTTTTTCTCTCTAAAAATAAAACTAAACCAGCGTGCTTTGACCTGGGAACCGAGCTCTGTACGTGGGCAGCGTCGGGCACAGCGCTGGGCAGCGCTCAGGCTGTGCAGGGACCAGCATGGGAGAGGCTTTATTTTTCTAACTCGTAGCAAAACCAGCCAGGAGAAGAGTTTCTCCGCTTTATTTTTTAATAACCTCGAGCCTTAAGAAAGAAAAACAAAACAAAAAGAAAAAGATTTAAATCAACTGGGCCCCAGCCCGAGGCGCTGGGGAGAGGCCTTAAAGCAGCCCCGGGGGAATCCCCGGGCCCCAGCTCTGCCTGGCCCTGGGCTGGGGGGCTGAGCTCGACCCCCTCCGGGCACCCCCGGCCACCCCAGGCCTGATGCAAAGCCCGTCCAGGGGCTCCTCTCTGCTTGCAGGACATCACAGATACTTTAAATTATTTATTTTGGGAGAAGAGCAGTTTTTAATCACAATTTTCCTCGGGTTTTTTTTTTGATCTCCCCTCTATTTTAAGTCCTTTCAAAAGCGATTGCATTAGTCAGAGCATTATTTGGAAGGTAACCGTGCCTGTTAAATTATGGTCTTGAACTGTAACCAGTCCTTTATTTATCTCTTTAATTCTTTTTTTTTTTGTTGTCGTTGTTATTATTATTATTATTATTCTTTTTGGAATCTGTGTCCTGGGTTTGTACAAACTTGTGCTCTTCCTTTTTTTTTTTTTTTTTTCTTTTGTCTTAAGGATGAACTGGAAAAAAAAAAATAAGATTTGTACAAACTAAAGATTGCAAATGTAGCGTATCACTGAATCATTTGCCTTGTTTTCTGCCTCAGCTCTCTGGGACACACGAGCTCGTGCGAGGACGAGACCCAAGGCCCCAGCCCTGCCTGGGGGTGGCTCTGTTTTAGCCTTCCATCCCCCCCAAAACTGCCTTCAGAGCTGGGGGGACACTGACTTTGGTGAAGCTGTGGCTGAACAGTTAAGGATTGCTTTTTAAAAAAGACAGCAAACTTTTTTTATTTAAAAAAAAAATGATATATTTGTTAACAATTTTTTTTTTTTTAGGGATTCAGTAGAAGAAAAAAAAAATCTTAAAGCACTCTTATAATATGGCATCTTTCTATTTCTGTATAAAAGCAGATCTTTTTAAAGTATTTCTGTAACTTAAAAGACCTGTCATTTAAATCATATTTTGTCTTTAGGTAAGTTTGGTTTGGTTTGTTTGCAAGATCCTTCTCTCTGTGAAACTTACCTTTTTTTTTTTTTGTATATTATTGTTTGCAATAAATATACATTGTATTAAAAATTAAACCATGCCCCAGGTGCCTGATTCATTATCAGCCTCCAAGGAGCACTGGGGCCAAGCTGGAGCCCCGGGATGGTTTTGGGTTCATTGATGGGGTTTGGGGTGTCCGTCCTCTTTTATCAGGGCAGGCCCTGAGTGCAGCATCCCAGGGAAACCAGAGCCAGGGAATAAATGGGAGCTGGAGATGAATAAAGCCAGACTGGACAGTTCAGGGGCTCCAGCTGTCCCCCAGCCCCACTGGCTCTGATCCCTCTCCCTGGGTTTTCTGCTCTGAGCTGCCTGGCTGGGGGGGATGCTGAGCACCAGATGGGGGGAAAGGCTTTCAGGTCATTCTTACAAAACTGCTCCAATCCTCCAATCCTGCCAAACACAACCCCATCAGCCCAGACTGATCAAAAAGCCAAAATCTCCCGAAGAGCCAAGCAGGACATGTACCATCCTCGAGGATCAGTGTCACTGCTCATCCCCGGGCCATGGTCCCCCAGAAACACAGCACAGACACTCCAGGAAGGAAAGACCCCCCCAGCTCAGCCAGACATTGCTTTTCCTATCAAATCCATCCCAAATAAATCACTATCAAATCCATCCCAAAGAATCACTAAATCCTCTGGGGCAGCTCAGGGTGCTCCAGGCAGGCCCCAGCCCATGGCTTTGCCACCTCACCCCACTGCTGGTGTCACTGCAGAGCTCACTGGTGACACCAGTCTGTGCAAGTCCCCTCCCTGACTGTCCCTCCAAGGCCACAGTTTTCACACGTGAAAACTCCTGCAGAAATGTCCCAGCCTGTCCCAGACTCCACAGGGAGCTGGCCCAGGGCAGCCCCACGCCAGAGCCGAGCTGCTGTGGGGCACCTCGAGGCACAGCACACAGCCCCAGCACCCCAGGCTGGGCAAACACCATTTTGCCAGCAGTTTATCCTCTCTGCACTCTTTCCCTGGCTGAAAAGCCATCCTGATCCCAGCAGCGAGCCTGCTCCAGAGCCTGGGACACGGCTCGCTGCGGCCCCGGAGCACACGGAGCTCGTGGCCACCACACCGAGCCTCCCCAGCGGGGTGAGATGTTTTTACACTCCAGCCGGTTCCCTGCCAGGGATTCGTTTACCCTGAGCGTTACCGGGGTCAGTGTCACTCCACCTGTGCCATCGGCCACCGCGGGCTGGGAACGCTCCGTTCCCGGACATTTCCCCGCAGCACACGGCGGGTTTCCCCTGCCCCCCCAGCCGGACTTTGCCCGCTGCGAGTTTTGGCTTTGCTGCTTCTTCGGATAAAAGAACAAACACGGCTCCCGGAGTTGTGTCGAGGAAGCAGCCGGGAGCCTCGGGGAGAGCTCGGCGGGGCCACGGCCAGCACGGCACTGCCGAAACAATCCCAGAAACCAGACAGCGCCTTTCCGATGCTCGTGTGGGTGGGATGGGCCGTTACCCAGCAACACGCTGGAAAACATCCCAAAATTACGATAGCCATTGCCTGCCTCTCCAGGAGTCTGGGTCAGCAGGGACCCTTCACATCCCTCCCCGTTTGCACTGGGTGCAGCGAGAGCCGGAGGGTGGGAGCGGGGCAGGTCCGGCAGGGATGTCTGCGTGGGATCCGGCAGGGATCCCTGCCAGACCCCGAGCAGGCAGCCCAGCACAGCCCCAGCTGCTCCCGGGGGTGCGGTGGCTTTGCTGTCCCAACACAGCCCTGCTTGGCTCCCCTCTCTCTCCCGTTCCATGAGCTCCACCTTCCCGCCGGAAGCATCCCGGGGATATCTTCCTCACAAGAAACCAAAAGAGCAAAGCTCATGACCCAGCCCTGGACCTGTAATTTCTGCACTGTTTACTCATGGTGTGGGCTTTAATGCTCTTGGCCTCCACTCGGGAAAGCCAAAGCTGGACGCGGGTCCCTGCGCAGCTCCAAACTTCCTGCCCACCCACCGCTCCGGGGGGCTGCGCCCTGCGCGGGGTGGGGAGGGGGATAAAGGGACACGCAGAGGGAGAAAAACGCTGGAAAAGCCGCGCAGCTTCAGGGCACCGTGTGCTAGAAAGCAGAGCAGGAGGGGTGGGGAGAGAAATAATAAATGAACCGGAGGGAACTCGCGCAATGCTGCAGGGCAGGTTTGAGCCGCGGCAGATAAGGGCGGGCGCGGGGACAGATGCGCAGCGGGGCGGCCGCAAAGCTGCCCGGCGGGGTGGGGGGCACGAGGGGAGCCCCCCAGGAAGGCGCAGAGAGCCGCAGGGGTTGGGGGGGGTGGGCAGGGAGCGGCTGAGCCCCTCGCCGGGCTGCTCGTCCTCCTGCACTGCCGCGGTCCGCCTTAGTGAGGGGTTCGGGTTTTTTCGTCGGCGCAGAGGAAAAATAAGCTATTAAAAATAATAATAATAAAAAAAAAAACAAAACGGGGAGACAGTTTGAAAGCAGCCCCAGGGCACAGCCCCGGCTCCCCGTGATGCCCCGGTGATGCCCCGGTGTGCCGGTCCGGCCGCCTGCAGCGGCGGCAGCTGCTCCCAAACCGAGCCGCAGTTTGCATTTCCCCAGCCAGCTGTTGGTGTTGACATCGCATGAAAGCCGGGGCTTTCTCCAAGAGGGAAGGCAAGCAGCTCACAGCCAGCTGTGCCGTGCCGGGATCCTGGGATCGGCCGCGGCTCCTGCCCAGCTGCGGCGTTTGGGACACGGACCAGCCCGGATCGGCACGGCCAAGGTGTTCCTGGGGTTTCTCTTTGCCCTTTTCAGGGCCCAGTTCCAGGAATCAGGTGGTTCAGCGAGATAGAGATTTGTAGGTAAAAGTGAAAGCAGCGAGTTGAGTTTCCCCCTCTGCGTCTGGTGTTTGCCTCCCTCGGGACCACACTCGGCTCCCGGCAGGGAACTGCTGCCACCCAGGAGAGGTGTCAGGAAGGGAGGGCAAACAGGAGCCCCCTTTCTCTGCTGACACCAGAAAAATTTGGCTAAGATGCTTGGATACGATGCTGTAAAGATGGAAAAGGTGGGGAAAGAGAACTTAGAGACTCAGGGCGCAAACGGGTCCAAGGAATCAGGCAGGATACAAAAAAAAAAAAATTAAAAAAACCCAACACCTTAAGCATCTCTAGTACAACCTCCTGCCTTTCTGGCTGGCTGGGGATGTGGATGCAGATGGAATGGGAGCAGATCCTCTCTCGGGAAGCGGGTACCAAGGATGCACAAACACTGCAGGACACAGAGCCACTGCTGTCCCTCTGCCACCCCCAGCAGGGCTGGATGTGACCAGAGCAAGGGGTGCTGGCACCCATTGCACCCAGATCACGGTGACAAGGGAGGGAGGGGAGTAGGAGGTTCCCACAGATCCCTCCTGCTCCCCCAGCCATCTGCCCTCTTTGGGGGAAGGCAAAACTCCCTCCACTGCAGCATTAACCCCTCCGGAGCAGGAGTGGCCCA